GATGCAGCCTGATTTTCAAGCATTTCAGAGAAGTTTTTGGGCACAGTGTGCAGACCATGTCCTAGAATCAGCCTGATTTTCAAGAATTTCTCATCAGTTTCTAGGTCACGGTGTGTAGGTCATCTCCGGGACATGTCCGAGCCACGACAAAGAATAATGAAAATAAAATGTAGCTCAACGCTACAACCCATAAATAATAAAACTAGTATACACAACAAAACCAAACTTCCCACCGCCCAGTGCCACAAACAAACCCCTTCGCCATCTTCAAACCAGTACCACCGTTAGTCGAGGCTTGTGCCGGTGCATGGTAGTGGTGATGGTGGTGGTGATGATGATGAGAAGGTGCCTGCACTGTAGATTGGTGGCCGGAGCCATGTTTATCGAACAGAACCATAACCTCTAGCTTTTGACCCTTCTGGCAATGTTCTTCAGCTCCACTGGGACACGGTGTGCAGGCCATGTCCAGGACGCATCCTCGCTACGGCAGGGATGCAACCTGATTTTCAGGCATTTCTCGACATTTTGTGGCCACAGTGTGCAGACCATGTCCGGGACGCATCCTGGCCGCGGTCGGGATGCAGCCTGATTTTCAGGCATTTCTAGCCAGTTTGTGGACACGGTGTGCAGGCAATGTTTGTGATGCTTCCCGACCACATTAGGGACGTAAGCAGATTTTCAACCAAACGAAGGAAGCATGGTGTGTAGGCGATATCTGGGGCGCAGGTACGTCCCAAGCATTCTGGGCAGTTTTTGGGACACAGTGTGCAGGACATATTCGAGACAAGTCATGGCCACATCAAGGACGCAACATGATTTTTTGTAATTTTTCGACAGTTTCTAGGCATTGTGTACAGGCCATGTCCAGGACGCATCCTAGTCGTGGCAGGCATGCAACCTGAAGGCTATATCTAGGATGCGTCATAGCCACGACAGGGATGGAGCCTGATTTTTAAGCATTTTAGGGCTATTTTTGGGCATGATGTGCAGGCCATGTCCAGGACACGTCCTGATCGCAGTAGGTATGCAACCTAATTTCCAGGCATTACTAGGTAGTTTCTAGGGCATGGTGTGCAGGCCATGTTCGGGACGCGTCCTGATCGCGGTAGGTATACAACCTAATTTCCAGGCATTTCTAGGCAGTTTTTGGGCACGGTGTGTAGGCAATGTCCAGGATACGGCAGGGACACAACCTGATTTTCAAGTATTTCTAGGCGATTTCTGGGAAGCGGTGTGCAGGCCATGTTCGGGATGCGTCCTGATTGTGGCGGGAACGTAGCCTGATTTTTAGGCATTTCTAGGTAGTTTCTGGGATATGGTGTGCAGTGAATGTCCAGGATGCAGTAGGGATGCAACCTGATTTTCATGTAATTCTAGGCGGTTTCTGGGAAGTGGTGTGCAAGCCATGTCGAGGACGCGTCTAGGCCACGACAAGGAAGCAGCCTGATTTCCAGGCATTTCTAAGCAGTTTCTTGGACATGGTGTGTAGGCCATGTACAGGACACGACAGGGACGCAACCTGATTTTTAGGCATTTGTAGGCAGTTTCTAGGACACGGTGTGCAGGCTATGTCCGGGACATGGCAGGGATGTAGCCTAATTTTCAGGTATTTTTGGACAATTTCTGGGCACTGTGTCCAGTCCTTGTTCAGAACGCATCCTGGCCATGGTAGGGATACAGCCTGATTTTTAGACATTTCTGGAAAGTTTTTTGGGCACAGTGTGCAGGCCATGTCCGAGATGTATCTTGGGCGCAGCCTGATTTTTAGGCAGGTCATGTCCGGGACACGTCGGGGATAGAGCCTAATTTTCAAGTATTTCTAGGCAGTTTTTGGGCATGGTGTACAAGCCATGTTAAGGATGCGTCCTGGCCAGGTAGGGACGCAGCCTGATTTTCAGGCAGTTTGTGGGCACGGTGTGCAGGCTATGTCCAGCAACGGTAGGGACGCGGCCTGATTTCCAGGCATTTCTAGGTAATTTCTGGGTCGTAGGGATGCGGCCTGATTTTCAAGCATTTCTTGGCAAATTTTAGGACTTGGTGTGCAGTCCATGTCCGGGATGCGTCATGGCCACGATAGGGATAAAGCCTGATTTTCAAGCAATTTTAGGCAGTTTCTGGGACACTGCGTACAGGCCTTGTCCAGGATGCGACAGGGACGTATCTTGACTTTCAGGTATTTCTAAGTAGTTTCTGGAACACGGTGTACAAGCAACGTCCGGGATGCGTCTAGGCCGTGGCAGGGATGTAGCCTGGTTTTTAGGCATTTCTAGGCAATTTTTGGGACACGGTGTGCAGGCCATGTCTAGAATGCTGCAGGGACACATCCTGATTTTCACGTATTTCTATGCAATGTCTGAGATACGGTGTACAGGTAATGTCCAAGACACGTCCGGGCTACTATAAGTGTTCTCTCACAAAGTGCATAGCTGTTGTTTTGAATAATTGTGAGCAAGACATCTAGCAATTATGTCTTAAAGCAATTATAAGAATTCTTGTTATAATTGGCAATTTGTGAGCGAACACTTACTTTCAAAGCTACTATTAACAAAAATACTTTTCTAGTAGAAGAGTGTTACATACCGTTTTGACTCAGTTACTGAGAAACCTGAACATAAAAATATAATAGATTATTAATATATTATTGGATGATAGCGAAAAAGTCATAATAATTAACAACATCATCGCTAAGACATACAATGAACCCTCAACAAATTCAAGAAATGAATAAGCATTCCCATGACTATTTATTGTTTTTTTCTTTTTTCTTTCTTTTTTTTTAAATATTTAGCTAAAAAATTACTTAAAACTAACTTCTTCTACTTACAAAAATAAAGTCTAGCCAAACATTAATTTTTTTTTAACTAAAACATAAAATGGAAAATAGATACTTACTGTGTTGAAAAGTAGTGACAATAGTTGAAATCCCAGTAGGAAATGTGTCCTCATTTCTTACCCAGTAGTTGCTGAATCAACGCTTCTTCTTGAGCTGGAAATATAATATCATTTGAATGTTATATTTTATACAACATTTAAAAAATAGAATGCGAACATATTTTATTGAATAAAAAAATTCATGAAATAATTTTTCATAATTTTAAATCAAATGTAATCTTCTATTTTTTTTTTTTTTTTGGCAAATACCACTAGTGTGGCTTATTTTATAATATAAGAAATGAGAATACACATAAAGGAGGGCGACATAAACCTGACATCCTGTAAGTGAAAAAAATTACAAATGTCTCAAATGAAGCGCAAATGATATTAAACAAAATGTGTCTAAAAAACTAGTGAATAATACTCAAGGGTATTCCTGAGGATAAATCTTTGGGTGATAGTACATAGACATCGATCGTGTCATGCATTTGGTTTGTAGTTTTTGGGACACAGTGTGCTGGCCATGTCTAGGACACGTCCTGGCTGCGGTAAGGACACAACCTTATTTTCAGGCATTTCTAGGCAATTTGTGGGCATAGTATGCAAGCAATGTTCGGGACGCTTCCTGGCCACGTTAGGGACGCAAGCAGATTTTCAACTAAATCAAGGAAGCATGGTGTGCAGGCCATGTCAGGGGCGCAAGCACATTCCCAAGCATTCTAGGCAGTTTCTGGGACACGATGTGTGCATGCCATATTCGGGTTAAGTCATGGCCATGATAGGGACGCAGCCTGATTTTAAGGTAGTTTCTAGGTTACGGTGTGCAGGCCATATCCAGGACGCGTCCGAGCCACAGGAGGGATGGAGCCTGATTTTCAAGTATTTCAGGGCAGTTTTTTGGCACGATGTACAAGCCATGTTCGGGAAGCGTCCTAATCGCGGCAGAAACGCAACCTGATTTCTAGGCATGTCTAGACAGTTTTTGGGACATGTTGTGCAGGCAATGTCCAGGATACGGCAGGGACGCCGCCTGATTTTCAGGCATTTATGTGCAGTTTTTGGGCACTTTGTGCTGGCCATGTCCGGGACGCTTCCTGTCGCGGTAGGGACAGCCTGATTTTCAGTCATTTCTAGGCAGTTTCTGGGTCACAGTGTGTAGGCCATGTCCAGGAAGCTACAGGGACACATCCTAATTTTCACGTATTTCTATGCATTTTCTTGGACACGATGTGCAGGCAATGTTTGGGAGGCGTCGGGGCTACTGCAGGGACGCAGCCTGATTTCTAGGCATTTGTGGGTAGTTTCTGGGACACGGTATGCAGGCCATGTCCAGGATATGGTAGGGACGTAGCCTGATTTTCAAGCATTTCTAGGCAGTTTTTGGGATATGGTGTGAAGGCCATGTCCGGGATGCAATTGGGCCACGACGGGGTCGCAGCCTGATTTTCAAGCATTTTTAAGAAGTTTTTGCGCACGATGTGCAAGTCTTGTCCTAGATGCAGCCTGATTTTTAGGCATTTCTCGTTAGTTTCTGGGTCATGGTGTGTAGGTCATGTCAAGGACGCATTAGGGCCACGGCAGGGACGGAGCTTGATTTTTAGGTAATTCCGAGTAGTTTCTGGGGATGGTGTACAGGCCATGTCCGGGAGGCCTCCTGGCCAGGTAGGGACGCAGCCTGATTTTTAGGTATTTCTAGGCAGTTTGTGGACACGGTGTGTTGACCAAGTTCAGGACGCATCCTGGCCGCGATAGAGACGCAGCTTGATTTTCAGGCATTTCTAGGCAATTTCTGGGACTTGGTGTGCAAGCCAAGTTCGGGGCGCGTCATCGCTACGGTAGGGATGTAGTCTAATTTTCAGGCATTTCTAGGCAGATTCTAGGTCATAAGGTTTAGGGATTTTCTTCAATTAATTTTGAATTAAAAGCAGGAAATATAGACGTGACAAAGAATAATAAAAATAAAATGCAGCTCAATATTACAACCCATGAATAATAAAATTAGTCTACACAATGAAACCAAACTTCCCACCATCATAGTGACTCAGATAAATCCCACCTCCGCCTTTAGACCGGCACCACCGTTAGTTGGGGCTGGCGTCGGTGCTTGGTAGTGGTGACGGTGATGATTAGGAGAAGGTGTTGCACTGTAGATTGGTGGCTGGAGCCATGTTTATCAAACAGAACCATAACCTCAAGCTTTTAACCTTTCTAGCAATGTTCTTCAGCTCCACTGATGAAGAAAAATAGACCTGATTTTTCTAGTGAAATTGTAGTTTCTCCATCATGGTGTGATTTTGTTGGATTGGCGTTGTTGCAGATTTTGTAGTCTTCCTCGGTCACTTCCAGCACTGAATCAATCTTGGAATCATACTTCAAAACTAAAGAATCCCCAATCTGAAAACGAGTTTTCTCAGCCCATTTGTTGAACTCGTCAACAGAAGATGGAACTGCCCATAAATAATCTTCACCGTCTATTACAAACTCTCTTGCTTTAGAACGAACACACAACAAAAACACGACCGCCGAAAATGAAAAAATAATTTTAAGTGAAGCCATTTTAACAGGGTGTGTAGGCAATGTACGAGACGCATCAGGGCCGTGGCAAGGATGCAACCTGATTTCCAGGCATTTCTAGACAGTTTCTTGGACGCAGTGTGCAGGCCATGTCCAGGACGCATCAGGGACGCAGCCTGATTTTAAGGCATTTCTAGGCAATTTTTGGGACACGGTGTGTAGGCCATGATCGGGATGCATCCGGGGCCACGGCAGGGACGCAGCCTGATTTTTAGGCATTTTTGGCAAATTTTTGGCCACGGTGTGCAGGCCACATTCGGGACGCCTCCTAGCTGTGGTGGGGACACGGCCTAATTTTTAGGCATTTGTAGGCAGTTTGTGGGCACGGTGTGCCGGCCATGTCTGGGACGCGACAGGGACGCAACCTGATTTTTAGGCATTTCTTGGCAAATTTTGGGACTCGGTGTGCAGTCCATGTCCGGGATGCATCATGGCCACGGTAGGGACGAAGCCTGATTTTCAAGCAATTTTAGGCAGTTTCTGGGACACTGTGTGCAGGCCTTGTCCAGGATGCGACAGGGACGTATCTTGACATTCAGGTATTTCTAGGCAGTTTCTGGAACACGGTGTGTAGGAGTCTAGGACGCGTCTAGGCCGCGGCAAGGATGCAGCCTGGTTTTCAGGCATTTCTAGGTAATTTCTGGGACACGGTGTGCAGGCCATGTCCAGAATGCTGCAGGGACACATCCTGATTTTCACATATTTCTATGCAATATCTTAGATACGGTGTACAGGTAATGTTCGGGACACGTAGAGGCTACTGCATGGATGTAGCCTGATTTCCATGCATTTGTAGGTAGTTTCTGGGACACGGTGTGTAGGCCATGTCCAGGACGTGGCAGGGACATAGGCCATGTCTAGGACGCATCATGGACACGGTGTGCAGTCAATGGGTCTTCAAAATTAAATACCATTCTTATAGCACCTTAAAAGTTTGTGAGGCATAACTTGTTGCTAAAGGATTTATACAAAGGGGAGGGATCGAAATTGAGGACTTCATCAAATGAATGTCTATAATTGAAGTATTGGTGCTAGAGTCTACATGTTGCTGTTAACCCAATGTACCACGAATGAATAAAATACATTGAGTTGGATTACCACACAGTACAAGGAAAAAAATTAAATTGGGAAATTGAGATAATCTAAAATGAAATGGGACAACAAATAGGTGGTTATTTACTAAATCACTGTAATAAGTTGTTTTTCACTGACAACTTAGAAAATTTGAGTTCTTGACATTCACACTCCAACTTTAGGGAAGTATTGAAGGAAAGGAAATCACTTTATATTATGATCAAGGAATATATGCATAGTGCATAGCTGTGGTTTTGAATAATTGTGTGCAAGACATCTAGCAATTATGTCTTAAAGCAATTATAAGAATTCTTGTTATAATTGGCAATTTGTGAGAGAACACTTACTTTCAAAGCTACTGTTAACAAAAATACTTTTCTAGTAGAAGAGTGTTACATACCGTTTTGACTCGGCTGCTGAGAAACCTGAACATAAAAATATAATAGATTATTAATATATTATTGGATGATAGCAAAAAAGTCATAATAATTAACAACATCATCGCTAAAACATACAATGAACCCTCAACAATTCAAGAAATGAATTAGCATTCCCATGACTATTTATAGTTTTTTTCTTTTTTCTTTCTTCCTTTTTTTTTAAATATTTAGCTAAAAAATTACATAAAACTAACTTCTTCTGCTTGCAAAAGTAAAGTCTAGCCAAACAATAATTTTTTTTTAACTAAAACATAAAATGGAAAATAGATACTTACTGTGTTGAAAAGCAATGACAATAGTTGAAATCCCAGTAGGAAATGTGTCCTCGTTTCTTACCCAGTGGCTGGTGAATCAACGCTTCTTCTTGAGCTGGAAATATAATATCATTTCAAGTTAATTTGAATGTTATATTTTATACAATATTTAAAAAATAGAATGCGAATATATTTTACTGAATAAAAAAAATCCATGAAATAATTTTTCATAATTTTAAATCAAATGTAATCTTCTATTTTAAGAAATAGTATTTTAGAATGAAAAACCAAAATCATTTTCTATTTTAAACTTAAAATTGAAAATTCAAAGAGGAAACCGAATTAACCCATGCTTAGTTCTCGGTTTCTGAATGTTGGAAATTAAACACGATTCATGAATAATGAAAAAAATTAAATTTGATACATGAATTAGTTTATTTAATATTCATGCATTCATTTC